CGAAGCATCAAACACTTACGAGAGAGAATTAAATGAAAAGTGAAGTAGAATTGCGAGATCAAAACTAGAACTCGAAGTAGATCAAGCAAACTAGCAAAGTTTAGTAGTATATAAAGCGAGAGAGAGAATGAGAGTATGGTTAGTTACTTGAAGAGTGCGTGTAGTAAACTCGATGCCAATGGTGGACTTGGATTCTACGCGAACTCATTGCGAGTAAATCCGGAAAGGAGGTTCGATTTTCCTCAACCTTTGATCGGGCGATTGAAGATTGAGTGATTGATCGTGATTTACGATTTGGAATTGAGAATTTAGGGGTGATTTTAGGTTTAGGTTTCTAATGTGGTGGAGACTAGAAACTGGAAAGCATGACTACCGACTCGGATGATTAAAGATTGAGTGATTGATTGCAATTTGAAATTAGGAATTTAGGGAAGATTTTAGGTTTAGGTTTCGGTGTTGCCATTTGGGGGAGATTTTAGGTTTAGGTAATTAGGTTTCTTGTGGTGAGCATACTTGATGAGGGGCTAAGGGGCGAGGGCTAAGGTTGTGAGGTAGTCTAAAGTCGGGAAGAGGAGTGAATGATGTCGTCTAAGTGATGAATTTTTTTTAAGAAAAATATATTTTTAATAATTTCAGTTATTTGATTGAATTTTTTAAAAAAACCAAAACCAAAACAAAAACCAAAAATCGCCTATGTTTCATTTTTTTATTTTTTAAAGAAACCTACATCGAAATTGATAATTCGATACGGTTTGGTTCGATTATTCGGTTTTCACCGAATAGTGAACACCCCTAACTTGCATTAAGAAAAAGTACTCGCTTCTTTTCTCGAGGTCGATGCCACTATAGACCCAAGGAAGTTGCATGGGCTTTTCGGACTATGCAACCAAAGTTTGCCAACTTTGCCCCCACGAGCTTGGCTTAAAGAAAAGACCAAAAAGAAAATAAAAATTTTCCTTATAAATCTCTAGAAGTAGAATCAATAAGTAGATACTAGTTTACGATAAAAATAATAGTGTTAATAAGATAATACAATCCATTAATTAAAATAATTTTTTTTAAATGCATGAGATTGATATAAGATATGCATTTAAAATAAATTAAAAAAATTCAATTAATATACAAGCTAATTTGACCATCAAATATTTTTATTGTTGATAAAAACCATATTATTTATCTTTAAATACCCATTGCAATTTATTTATTTATTTATTTTTACTAACTAAATTAATCTTTCGATAAAATCATGTATTGATAATACGGATTTGATTATTGCATCTCCAAACAATAATATTGATGTGATTTATAACGGTCAATCATTTTACTTATATTCTTGTAGGTTTTGTTGATCTTTTAATTTAGGAAGAATGGTGCTATTTTCATTTCTTTTATACATTGGTATTCTCATTTCGTAACTTAATGAAATGATTAAATTATTCATCTTTAATTTTATCTTAAAATAAAGTTGGAAAATGAAAGATTTCTAACGTATTCATATTTCACCTTGTTTTGATATTTTATATAATAAAATTGATATTTAATTAAAAATGATTTATTTTTATTTTTTTCCTTTCTAACTTTTTTAATACAAAAAATATTTTGTAATTGATAATAGCATAAGATCTTATTCATATACTAACATATTATTCATTGAACAATTAATGATTTTATTTTTTGACAATCATATATATATATATATGATTACAATATCAAGAATTTTAAAAATAAAAAAATAAAATTTCAAAGAATGTTAGTTTTATCACTTCATAAAATTATTGAGCGGAAAATAAAAATTCAAAAAATGTTAATTTTCTGAATGGGAATGAATGCTGCCTGTTCAAGAATTGACTATATAGTTAATTTGTTTCTCTTTCATAAAAAAATAAAAAGATAAATGTTAATACCCAATTTCTTTCCCTTTTATTTTCTTATTCTAAAAAAATATCAATAATAAAAATAGTAAACTAAATACAACTAACAAGTAAATAAAAAAAATACAAAAAAAGGAAAGAAATCAATTCAAATAAATAGTGCAAATTAGGCTAATAAAAAAAGAGAAGAAAGTTCGAGAACCAAAATAAACCCTATCATGGAGAAAAAAAAAGCCAAAAAAATGCTAAATCCTTGAATTAAAAAAAAAGGGTATTATTGTTTTTTTTTTTTAAAGAAAGGCTTTAATTAATTGTAATTTGGGGTGCAATTGAAGTTCAAACAATCAAAATTATATTTAATTGGATGAATTAGGAGGAATCAAGGATCAAAACCAATTTTTACCCAAAAAAACCTAATTTCCACCTATAAAAACTCTTTTTTCTCTCCACAAACACAAGCCTCCATCTCCCTCAAAAATTTTCCAGCAGCCATTTTTCCCGTTTTGTTGATTTTCAAGCTCCCCATCATCCAAACCATAAAAATACCACCATTCGTCCATCATCTAAGCCATCACCCTCTATTAAAACCACCATTAACCTTCCCCCTCGCCTCAACTTTGCCAACCACCATAACATCCTCACACATTTAGCCATCCTCCATCATCCAAAAAAATCCCACAAAAACTTTCACAAAAATCTTCATATGAAAAAAAAAATTGAAAAAAAAAAACACAAACACAAGCCAAACATGCTCTTACCCGAACAATGAACTCATTTACCCATCAAACTTGATCAAAACTTCTTCTTCTAAATCGGCCACCTTTTGACTAATATTGCTTCCAATCTCTACCAACAATCCGTAGCCCAACTCTAGATCTACCTACCCTCATCGGTTAGAGGAGAAGAGGATATTGGAAGAAGGAGAAATCGAAGGTAGAACTATCGCAACCCAATCGGCTTAACAATCTGGTCGCATCTTACGATTTCGACCAAATCACCAACTACCACCACCAAAAATCAATCGTCCACCTCCCGGAGTAGTTCTCCCTTGAAATCATGGCTAAAATCCATTAATGGCCTAATTGATGAAGACCTTCTTTCCCAATCTGTTTATGCAACCCGATAAAATTATTCGATTAATGCTAAATTGGACCCTCTAACCACCACGAATACTCCTCTCGGCCTCATTAGTCGATTAGTGCCTTTAAAATCCCTTAAAATTGCCAAAATCTTCATCGAGAAGAGAAGGAGATTTGGCAAAAACTTTAAAGCTATTGATTTTCCTCCTCTAGCGTCGATGGTGATCGCCATCACCATAGACGAGTCGGCGATGATCTCCACTACAATGCGGAGTGATTCATGCACTTGAAGGACCATTGGGACGATGATTGGGCGATTAGTAATGGTGTTTCGTCTTCTAAGGGTATTTTGGTAATTTTATACTATAGGGTTATTTTGTTTGTAGGGGCATTTTGGTCATTTTATAATTAACATATGGCGTTCTAGTCATTGTATATCAGCCTTCTCAACACCTATAAATAGTTGTTTTCTCTTTTTTTGATTAATTGAAATAATCAATTTTCATCAAGATTGAAGGAAGTAAAATTTATCCAAAGAAAGGACTTCTAACATTTTCATTGATATTTGAGTAACTTTTAAACTTATTTAAATTGTTTAAAAGACAAATGTAAATAGTGGAAATGTTGTGTTATGAATGATTGTCGTCGTTAAATGCTCTATCCGATTATACTTATGATTTTTACATGCTCGTTTGTTTGTCGAAATAAAGCTTTGGTGACTTTCCACGTATGTGATGAAGCAATAAATTTTATTTGTCTTCTCGTTTGTCAAAAATATAACTGCCGATGACTCTCCACTTATATGGTTGAAACAACTCGTAGCTTTTAATCAATTTGTATACTCGTCCGTTTGTCGAAATAAAGCTCCTAATGGCTTCCCACTTATGTGAATGGAGTTGCCAATGGCTCTCGAATCAATTTTATTTTATTTTTATTTAATTTTTGACTATTGAAATGAACTCATCGGTAACTTCTCATTTAATTTTTGACTATTGAAATGAACCCGTCGGTAACTTTCCATTTATGTGAAGAAGCCGTCAATGGTTTTAAAATTAATTTGCTTGCTATTTGCTTATACGAAATGAAGCCATCGATGGCTTCTCACTTATGTGATGAAGTCGTCAATGACTTCCAAACTAGTTATCCGCTCCTTACTCGAGCAAAATGAAGTTATCAATGGCTTTCTCACTTATGTAATGAAGTTGTCGGTAACTTCTTAAATCTTGACTCAAAGTCGTCGGTAGCTTCCCATTTGTGTAAGTGATGTTGTTGATGACTCGTTGCTCATGTTAATAAAAAGATTATCAATCTTTAGAAACTCGCCTATTGTCGGTATAGGTCATGTTCGCTAAAAATTAGCCAAAATTTCAATTTTCTCTACCTTTCCCTTTTGAGTATAGGTATCGGCCTTGGACTAGTTTGGATCTCGAATTACTTTGTTATTCAATTCCAATAAAATAAATTTGTTCAAATAGACATAGAAGCATAAATTAGTAAAACTAGATTTTTATTTTCATATACAAATAATATAGCCTACCTCGGGTAGGATTGAATGACGGTGATGTATATCTTCTCATACATAATCAATTTTTTATCCGAGATATCTTTGTAAGAACGAGTATATTTAGGATTTCTTAGTTTTTATAGATTAATTAGGTAACGACTCTATTTTCTCGCTTATTTTCCGTGGCCCATCCACAATAAATAAAATAAAAGTATGAGTTTATTTGTTCATATTGGCTTTAAAAAAAAAAAAAAAAAAGATAACGCTGAACGACCGGACTACCCCTAATTCCCTAGTTTATGGAAAAGAATTCCTAAACCGTTAAATCGACCCGTCGCTTTTGCCCTAATTTCCCGCCAGAATAAAATGTCATGCTATCATATAATTCAGCAGCTTAAAAACTGTAAGCATTTCTTTTCTGCAACCTCAACACACACAAATCTGTTGAAATTTGGCCTTTTAAATGGTACCATCACTACTAATTATCTGATCAGTTGTTACTCGGGACTCCAAAAGATTGGCCATGCACACCAACTGTTCGATGAAATGCCTGCACCAAATGTGGTCTCATGGACTTCACTCATGTCCGGTTATGTCAACATGGGCCAACCCCAATTTGCTCTCTGGCTCTATACAAAGATGCACGAGAGTGAAGTTAGGCCGAATGGTTTTACCTTTGCGACACTCATTAATTCGTGTTCGATTCTTGCGGATCTCAAAACTGGCAAGATGGTCCATGCCCATGTTGAGACTATGGGGCTTCAAGGCAACCTTGTGGTATGTTCTTCATTGGTTGATATGTATGGGAAATGCAATGACGTTGATGGAGCTAGGCAGGTTTTTGATTCGATGGGTCATAGGAATGTTGTTTCTTGGACGGCAATGATTGCTGGTTATGCACAGAATGCGAGAGGACATGAAGCACTTCAAGTTTTTAGAGGATTCAATCGTTTGATGCTGGAACGTCCCAATCATTTTATGCTGGCCAGTGTGATCAATGCTTGTGCTAGCTTGGGGAGGCTGGTTCCAGGGGAAGTTATGCATGGGGCAGTTATACGTAGTGGATATGAATCGAACGATGTGGTTGCGAGTGCGCTTGTGGACATGTATGCCAAATGTGGGGGTTTTCTTTACTCAGATAAGGTTTTTAGGAGAATTCCAAATCCTTCTGTCATTTCATATACTTCAATGCTTGTGGGTGCTGGAAAATATGGACTTGGGAAACGATCGCTCAAACTCTTCGAAGAGATGATCGATAGAAAAATCATGCCAAATGATGTCACCTTTGTTGGGATTTTGAATGCATGCAGCCATTCGGGACTCATTGATGAAGGTCTTGGACACCTGAATTCCATGCATGAGAAACATGGAATAATGCCCGACGCAAGGCATTACACTTGCGTTGTTGACATGCTGAGTCGAGTTGGCCGTCTAGATGAGGCTTACAAATTAGCAAAATCGATTAGGGTCAACCGCAATGAAGGCGCTCTTCTGTGGGGCACACTGCTTTCTGCTAGTAGGCTTCAAGGACGGATAGATATTGCCGTTGAAGCAAGTAAGTGGCTGATTGAATCTAATCAACAAGTAGCAGGTGCTTATGTCACATTATCAAACACTTACGTGTTGGCTGGGGAATGGGAAAATGCTCATAGTCTTCGTGCCGAAATGGAACTCATTGGAGTTCATAAGGAACCTGGGTGCAGCTGGGTTGAGATAAAGGACTCAACTTACGTGTTCTATGCTGGAGACTTATCATGTGAAAGAGGGGATGAGGTCATAAGCTTGCTGAGGGAGTTGGAGAGGAGAATGATGGAAAGGGGTTATGTAGGAGGGAGTACGGGACTAGTATTTGTTGATGTCGAACAGGAGGTCAAGGAGGAAATAGTAGGCCTGCACAGTGAGAGACTGGCCTTGGCCTTTGGGTTGATAAGCATACCTAAAGGAGTCACCATTAGAGTGATGAAGAACTTGAGGATGTGCAGTGACTGTCACAGGGCTTTCAAGCTGATCAGTAAGATTGTAGAGAGAGATTTTGTTGTGCGTGATGTTAATAGATTTCATTATTTCAAGGATGGATCATGCACTTGCAAGGATTTTTGGTAGTGATCATAGTATTACTAATACTTTGGTGTTTATCCTTTGGGTACAAAAGTTTGTGTCTATTTAATTATAGCAGAACTCAAGCAAAGGGGACTGAATGTAATGTAGCTACACCACCTAAATGAGCAAGACAAGAAGAGCACTAGTAAAGCAATCAATCAACCAAGAGTCCAGCAAAGCAGCAGCCATTAATGACAAAGTAGACCGTGTGAGAGAGATTCTTTTAAGGGTTTTTTTTCTTTTTTTTTTTTTGGGGGGGGGGGTGTTAAGGAACCATTTTCATCGACAATCAAGCTCTATTGCAGGACCAACTGCTAAACACACACAAAATATTAGAAAACCTTGTAAAATGGGACATCCCAGTGCAGGTCCACAGTGCAAGCAGCTGCATTGCACGGTTTGAGGTCCAACTTAAAGTGCTGCTCTTGTTTTTATTCTTTCTGTTATCTTATTGTTGTATCAGAACTTGTATGTTCTTCTCTGCAGAAAGTTCAACATTAGTTGTTGCATCAGAACTCGTATGTTCTTCTCTGCTTGAAAAAGAACACTCTGGATGCCATGCGGTACTTAGAGATGACAAGTTATTTATCATATATTTGTCATTTTACTATTTTTTTTGCTCATTGCAAATTAACTAACAGTTGCTGCTTTCGTGCTTTGTTTCATGCTGTTTTAGGTGGATGATTTATCAGGAATGTTCAGGTTCTTTTCTAAAATACCTTGAGTCTCAGATCCTGTTTCCAGTATATTGAAGCAGGTTGGTAGACTTACATTAATATTTATCTTTGGGCAGTCTGAATGAATATTTGTTGATTCTATCTTTTCTTCTTCTTCTTTTCATGTTCTCTGTCCTGAGATAGTTTCCATTCCATAATGCAGCATGGCACTGATGAAGGTACAGCTTTGGTCAAGAAGGCTGAAGATGCAGTAAGCAACAAGAAGGTCTGTCTTATGATGACTATTCTTACCTTTGCAATTTAAGTAATATAACTCCTTGGAAAATTATTTTCTCCTCTTATTTGCATTTTATGGCCCCTCCCACCAAATAAAAAGTAGAGAGAAAAATCCAGCTTTTCTCTTAGTTCGATACAATATTTGTGCTGTTTGATGTCTAAGATTGTCTGGTTATGCAATGTTAAGTAATCTTTGGAACAGCTTCATAAATCTCTTCCACTACAAAGTATGGTGATTGTAGATGAACTTTTGGGTTTCATTTGGTGAACAGTTTTTCCTATATCAATGGTGATAATGAGGATGGTAAGACATACATTGTGTGCTGCTTATGCGGAATGTGGCTGTCAATAATTTGTTGCCCCTTTTTTGATTAACTTTGCTTTTAAATTGATTTGTATATCTCTACCGTCCTGGTTTACCTAATCGGTATATGACCCTTTGCTGCTGCACCCAGAATAAAAGCAAATTCGACTTCCAAAAGTTGGCAAAAGCCTTATTTAATATAAGAATCCAATTCCATCATTCGTCCAACCCTGCCACCCACTGACCCTAACTCATCAGCCCCCCAAGACAAACTGTTGCTTGCTTTTGCACCAGTTGCAGTTTGCTAAGAACACTTTAACAACTCTATTAATTTCGAAGTACTTTATCCACAATTCATAGTAATTATAAATATCATTCTTTAAAAGAAGAGCAAGGCTAGTCGAATAACCTTAGCAAGCTTGAGTATCTAAAGTTCCTGTGCTCCTTATCCTTAATTACATACCCTATTCATAGTTCTGTAGATACTTGTCGAGTATCAGATTTATCCTAGCATATCATCATTGGATGAGTGCTTGCTAATCTTGGGTTACTGCCGTTTCTCTTATCTGTACAATTTTTCATAAAGTAGGAAGAGAGACCATCAAAAACTGAAATGAATGACCTATCAGAACGATATTGATATCTCTGCCACTGAATATTGCTAATAGTCCTGATGGTAGCCCAAAGCTTATCATGGATAAATTAAAGCTGTTGTCATTGGGAGTTGGGGCCTCAGTTAATTTTTATGGATTTTTTGTGGGACACTAGTGCTTGAGGCCCTTTGCTACCCCTTCTTACCCTGAAAAAGACATGGAGGCTATACATCAACTGTCTTTCACCTAACCACTGTGCTGCAAGCAAAGTAATTTTTAGGATATGAGAGGATGGGCAGCCCTCTGTGCATCATAGATGAATTCTTCTGGCTGAAAACCTAGCGTCATGGTTTCTGAACTTCCCTAAGGCTAATGGAATGGTATGTACTCTATCTCGAAAACAACACAAATATTATTCTCGAGTTAGAGATGGCATGGATTTGTGCAACTTGCTCCTTAACAGCGAGTGTTGATTACTGCTGTTATTTTTAAGTCCCTACTACTTGGGGAGTTAAAGGGTCTTTATGAGTTAGGCTAAAAAATCATTCAAACTCATGTGATTGTGGTCTGTTTTTGTAAGTTGAGATTTTTCCAATTATTTTCAACAGCAGAACTCTATGTTTGCAATTGCATTTAGCTTTTTACAAAATTGGTTGCATGCTACATTACTCTCACCAGCATGCATAATATTTTTGTGAATGGTCTTCTTTTTTCATGTAATTCTAATGCCAATATTTTGATATATATTTTTATTTTTATTTAACGGGGCAGGTAAAAAGGACATGGTTGGTTTGCAGGAACAGGTCAGTTTTCCAATTCTAAATCCAAATATTGATTGGACTGTTGAAATGGTGGAAGCTGCATGACAAATATCTGGCATATGTCAATGATTGTTTCCAGAACCACACTCTCTTCCACAAGGTTTATGCAGATTACATATTTCTGACATTCTAAGGTCATATCCCTCTTGGTCTGTTGTGTCTGAATCTAGTTCTTCTCCAGGCCCTCAAGGAAGCTTTTTATGTCTTTTGTAACGAAAGTGTTGCCGGAAGTTTGAGTGCAGAATTTATAGCAACTTTTTGTGATAAAATTCTTAAGAAAGGTGGGAGTGAGAAACTGAGCGATGAGGCCAGCGAAGAACACTGGAGAAGGTATGTTGTGCTTTCGTTGCATGGTTTTGTTGCTCATGTTATTATGTAACTTCATAATGAAATTTGCTATTGATTTGTAGGTAGTGAAGCTGCTTACTTATATTAGCGACAATGACTTGTTTGCTGAAATTTATAGGTGAGTAATGTCATCTTCTAATGAATAGATGTTTTAGTTGAACATTACATGGAGAAGTTTTTAACTAGAACAGGATTATTTTTTGTAGCAAATTTTCTGGCAGGAAAAAGCTTGCTCGAAGGCTTCTTTTTTATAAGAGTGCCAATGACGACCATGAGAGAAGCATTTTGACAAAGCTGAAACAGCAATGTGGTGGGCAGTTTACCTCAAAAACGAATGGATGGTCAGTTGCCTTGAATCATTTTTTTTTTTAATTGAAAGTTTATATTGCTTTGCACGTGTAAGATTGGGATGCAAACTACCATTCATTCTTGGATTTGATTTTTTCTTCAAGGTTACGGATTTGACCCAAGCACGGGAAAACCAAACTAGTTTTGAGGAGTATCTAAGCAACACCCTAAATGCAAATCCAGGGATTGAGTTGAAGGTTACTGTTGTGGCAACTGGCTTCTTGCCCAGTTGAACCTTCCAGCAGAGATGGTATGCTTATTGACTTATGCCATAGTTAAAATGTTTGCTGCTTTCTGGTTGATATGTGGGGTTTCCCAAGGTGAGCATCTTGGCAAAGTCACTAACGCAGACCTTTCTCTGTTTGTTGCTGCTTTAGGTCTTTTGGGAATTTTATCAAATAAAAACAAAGCACAGGAAACTTACCTGGATGTATTCATTTGGGCACTTGTCATATTATTGGGAAAATCGAACCAAAAACCATGGTGTTGATTGTGAGAACCTGTCAGGTATTGTTTTAATGAATTTAACTCCATATTTCTTTATTAATTTATTCTGATTAGAGTGCGGAAGTGCAGGTTGCCCATAAATTTCTTTATTTCTAATATTGATTTTTTTGGTCCTGTTTAATAAGCTTCTGCACTTTTGCTTTTTTAACTCCTTAGATAGATTGATTTTTCTTCTTATTTTACGGATAATGTGCCCTAAATAAGTTTTCACGAATCTATTTAACAAACACACCATCAATAATTGAACATATTGTAGTGGATACACTTAATAGAAAAAGAAAAGAAAAGAGACAAATGGAGATACAGACACGCATTGGGTTTTTCATTTCCTCGGAGAGAGAGGTATTGTTGATTTCTGCAAGGAAATATTTCTTCTGTGGATATAGACATTGCTAAGGATTCATTATATGTATAGCTCAAGCCATGGGCCATGTTAGATTCGAATGCAAACATCAGTCAGGATAAGGAATACAACAACTGTTATATGAGTTTGGTCATCAGCTGTGGGTTATATATATATTTGGTGCAAAAAATGGGAGGTAGGTAGACCACTCCAAATTTCCAGCAAGACATGATGCGTCCTCAATGCCCATCCACATCTAGAGGAACTTTCACTGCACTTATATCTGGACCGAAACTCAGGAATCGTTTGTAAATGGAGGGAGCCCCACACGATGTGATGTATAATTGCCATCGATAAAGAATTACTTCGCCATAATTCGAACCCAAACTCTTTGACGAGGTAGACAAAGTATTTTAACATTAGGCCAACCCTTTGCTGGCTCATCAGCTGTGGAGTGAGAGGTGTGGTTTTTAGGATTTGCTTTTGGCCCATATCAAATATGGGCAGAATGGCAAACCTCATTGCACATCAACTCTTAATAAGACCAAAAAACAAAGAGGGGAAAAAAAAAAGAGAGAGAAAAATCATCATCGGTCTACTAAATTTAATGGAGTTAATTTTAAATTAATCATTCTAATTTTGAGAAAATACTCCTTCTTGTTTTGTTCTTTTTCAATTTATTTTGATTTTTTGTTTTAATAAAAAAAGTAAAAATATGAAAGGATTGATTATAAAATATAAATTAAGTATAATAAATACTGGTCAAAAAATTAAATAATTAGTTTTTGAAATAAAGAGGACTAATTAATTTTTTTCTAAAAAATAAAAAGATTAATTTATAATTTACTCAGATTTAATGAAAGGAATTCTCAATAATAATAATAATGACAAAAAAAAAAAAAAAGATGCGAACATTGTTATATTTGATATACACTTAGTACTGGCTTAGTAATGCAATTGCAGTTGGTTTTACTCTCATCACAATCCAAAACGTTTGATTAACAAAAAGCTTGAAGTGGTTCCCCACCAACTTCTGTTTCAAAAAGACTACATTTAGATTTTTTTCAATGGGAGTTCCCTCAATTGCTCCTATTTTCTGTAGTGCAATGGTAAAGGCCAACAATTTCAAGAGAGTTTACTCCTTTCTTGATTATTTAGATTCAAATTTTGGAGTTAGTATATAAAGAAATTTATTAAATTTTTAAGTTGACGTGGGAGGTGTGCCATAAGATTGTTTGGAAAAATTTAGTTTCAGTTGGCATGCAAGCCGACTCAAAGATATTCTTACCGTCAAACTAATAATAATAATAATAAAGGTCAACTATGATACCAAATACATCCTTGATCACAAGACAAAACAAAACCCATTTGGATTAATTTTATGAATCCGATCTTATATTTAAAACAATTAGACAAATTTGATCTCAATTGTTTTTTATGTTAAAACTTACTGAGGTGAAAAGCATTAGTCATGTGGCATATAATTTTAATTAACATACTTAGCCTCGATTAGAAAGAAAAATAATATAAAATAAATTAACCAAATGATTTAATAGTTCTTATCTTCTTTTTTTTTTTTTTTCTGATTTAATGTATAAAACGTTCATTTACTCTTTTGATTTTTTTTTAATGAGTCTCTGTAATTTATTATTATTTTTTTGATTTATCACTTCCATATGCTCTTGAATTTTTATTCATGTGGCTATTTGACTATTTTTTTAAAATTAAAATTGACACCTAACATAAAAAAATCTACATAGCATGTCATGTTCGATTAATTTGTCAAGTGGAAAAAAAATTAAAAAACTAAAAACAAAAAATAGCTGAAAGTAGAAAGTTAAAAAGAATATATATATATATATTTTGCCACACACCTATACATTCTTTTTTTTTTTTTACTAAATTTTTACATTACTTATCCTCACTAACATATACATTTCATCAAACAACTTATATGCATCCCTTATCCTTTTCTCCTTGCGTAACTCACCAATCAAATTATTGTAAATAAAGACATTATGACTAACTTTCTTCCTATTTATAGTGTCAAACAACTCCATAGTTGGCTTTAACTTAGAAACAAACTATTGTCTATCATGCACATCATGAAATAAATTAATCCGTACTTTATTTTTATTTTTTTAATTTATCACTTCCCCGTACTTTTGAATTTTTCTTAATGTGGTCCATTCGACTCGTTTTTTGATTAAAATTAATACCTAACATAAAAAAATCTACATAGCATGTCATGTCATATTACATTGTCAAGTGAAAAAAAAAATTAAAAAACTAAAAAAAAGTAGCTGAAAGTAGAAAACTAAAAAGAATATATATATATTGCCACACACCTACACATTCATTTTTTTTGTACTAAATTTTTGCATCCCTTATCCTCACCGACATATACATTTCATCAAACAACTTATCCGCATCCCTTATCCTTTTCTCCTTGCACAACTCACCAATCAAAATATTGTAAATAAAGACATTATGACTAACTTTCTTCCTATTTATAGTGTCAAACAACTCCATAGTTGGCTTTAACTTAGAAACAAACTATTGTCTATCATGCACATCATGAAATAAATTAATATGTACTTTATTTTTATTTTTTTTAATTCATCACTTCCCTTTACTCTTAAATTTTTCTTAATGTGGTCCATTTGATTGTTTTTTTTTTATTAAAATTAACACCTAACTTAAAAAAATCTACATAGCATGTCATGTCGATTACTTTGTCAAGTGAAAAAAATTAAAAAACTAAAAAAAAGTAGCTGAAAGTAGAAAATTAAAAAGAATATATATATTTTTTGCTGCCCACCACACATTCATTTGTTTTTCTACTAAAGTTTTTTGCATCCCTTATCCTCACCAACATATACATTTCATCAAACAGACTTATCCGCATCCCTTATCCTTTTCTCCTTGCATAACTCACCAATCAAAATATTGTAAACAAAGACATTATGATTAACTTTCCTCCTTTTTACAATGTCAAACAACTCCATAGTTGGCTTTAACTTAGAAACAAATTATTGTCTATCATGCACATCATGAAATAAATAAGCCCTATTCCACTCTTCCAAAGCCCCAACCCATCCCCCGAAGCACTTTAAGTTAAATATGCATCCGATTATGGATGAGCATAACAAATTTTTGAATATTGAAGAGTTTGATTCCGTTATTTCTTCATAACTTCTCTTCATTTTCTATCTTCTCGTTGTTTCTTAATCCTTTCACTCTAGTCCTTTACCACCTTACAACTAATAAACACACAAAGAAAAACAATTGGTACCTTGTTCCTTTTGTTTTCAATTTAATCCTATGGGTAAAAAATAAAAAGAAAAAAGAAAAAATAGAGAGAAGTCTTGAAAATTAGGAGTCACAAATTTACATTTGAAACAAAAACTATAACAAATACCCATATAGGTAGTCTAAAAATCAATCTAAAAACATTAACATCAATCATAAACACATCTTTAGACTTTCAAAAATTAGAATTGCCACTTACATTCAATACTCACCATAAAAACAATAAAAATCTCCACACTTGGGAAGCCCTTCCTTAGCAACCTCAACAACCTACGTAGAAGCGAGTTCGGGGTTAATGATGTCGGATTAAGACTCCAAGCCTTACAAAAAAATTAACAAAATAAGCAACTCTTGAACAACCATAGGTCGAGACAATCAAAATATAAAGCAACCTCAAAAAACCTTAACCGGACCTCAAAAAGCACCCAAATTAGAATCAATTATCAATTCTTAAATCCCTCTAACTCTTAAACCATTTTGAACCCATAATCACCAAACACATAATAATGGCATCCGAAATTAGGGTATATATGTTCACCAATCAAATCACCTTAAAACATCATGAAATTTTAACATAACCTAAATAATAATCAGGAGAATATGTTTAAAAAATCTCAACTCAATCTAAGCTCCCTAGTCCTCTTGTCTATCAAGTCATTATTTTGAATATAATAAGTATCGGAATTAACACTAAGTTCTACGACCCTAAAACACAAGCAAATTTTTATTTTTTTATTTTTTATAGGAGTTATATACTTTCAAAATTTTGGATCAAATTAAAATTCCTAGCCTTGGTTATCGGTTTAAAAATTGAAACTATTTAGTCCGGAATTCTAACTAGATCCGTAATCAATCAAGTAACAAAACAATAAAGGAACTACAAGCTCCAATGTTTCATCCTAAGTAGAGATCCACTACTCAAGTTAATTTAGAGAATACTTATTGGATGTGTTCATGATGCAATTTTGATCTAAACACACCTCGCTCGATCACTTTAAGGATGTGTTCACAATGTTCGGTCGATCCAAGCAAGGAAGATGCGAGAAGGTATAAATAATAATTCTCAAATTTTATTCAAAATATCATCAAAAAAATATTCTAGAAATAGCACAAAAATGTACTTCAATACTCACATACAAAAGCCCTAAAAGAGTCGGTTAGGTAGGAATTCTTCTTTGGTCGAATATTGCTTCCTTTCCTAACTAAGACTTCTTTCCTCTCTTAACTTAGACTAATGTCTTCCATATTTAATTAAAAAAATTTAAGTTAGCCTAATTAAATCTGGATCCATATTATATGGACTTCAAATAAATAAAATAATCTCTAACAAATAAGGATCTATAACACAAAAGATTATCCATCCACCTAGATCATATTCAACCTTATCCTTATCCTTATCCAATAAGTAAATTCGTCAATCATATGGATTAATTGTTTTCAACCTAAGTCTTTATAGATAAAATCAACTCCGTAATCCAGATAATTAAAAGATAATTCATAAATAAAAGGCCATAAATTAAAAGATAAAGGGCTGGAAGTTTTAACCACTTAAGAGTGCCAAACTTTTGACCACATGGAAGGATAGATGCTCCCATATCATACTCTCCGGGTTGAAGAAGAGTTGACCTTGACGTCATGATCCTTATCTTCTTCTCCAAAGCATAACAAAGGTCTTTCTCCTTAAAAGTATATGAGACTAAGTAATCTTCATATAGATTGATCTTTGTACATGTACCCATCCATCCTCTTGGAAACCGGAAATGACACTCTTAGGTTTTCAAGCTTAACAAACCTTCCTCTTAATACTTATTCCTTTTTCATAATCACCCATATAGAGTCCGCCTCATTATAATTTACCTTGGTTTGAAATTAGAGACCACAACCCATCATTTATCTTCGCTAGCATTTCCTTCATTGTTTGCATCATGCTTCAATTCGATAAAGTCAGCAGTCTTGTCTTGATTTTCTAGCCTTTTTCCATTTTGTTCAACAATAAATCTTTCTATTTTCTCCATGGTATCAGCCTAAAAAACAAGTCTAGTTGGTCTTGGTAGCAGTAACATATCCTTGCCCTTTGAGTTTGTCAATATCGACAAGCAAGTTTTCATGGTCCTTGATGGCAACAATATCTTCTTTCATTCCTCCATCTTCGATATCCCTTAAGTAACTCACATTTCCTTAAAAAACACTCATGTTAACCCCATGAATCATGAAAACATCATCAACACTCCCAATAATAATAATAAATTGGTTAACACAATCGACAATAACCTCATCAACAATTCTAACTACACCATCCACGGTATTCACATCAACAACTTTAAACATATCACCATACTTATCCGTAACACACTCCATTTTAGCCTCAAGAATTTCACCATGCTTTCCCATATCATGGTGTATGATAGATATTGTCCCATCTATTCTAACATTAATAACTTACAAAGCATCAAGATATAAGCTTGGTGAGCTAGCTACTCTTTAAGCCTCCACCAAATTAGCTCCTCCATGGATCACCCTTTATTTAAAGAAATCACCATGGTTGATGACATTCTTGCCTCCATCTTATTGGTGCTAAGTCAAGACATTCTAGCTCACTTTCTTTTTTTCCTTCACCATATAATCTCAAAGATTAACTTCCTCAAGTCTTAGACTAGCAAACTTCACCACTCGAGAAGGATCATCTTGCGCTCATATCACTAAAATGACCATAATTTCTAGTAGGATGCTTTAAATCTTACACAATTTAATGCATTGAAAAATATATTCAAACAAATTTTCAGTAGTATATAACTTTCCTAGCAATTTACTCGATACCGATATAGTTATACATCCGAATTTGAAACTAAAATATGAAACCTTTGCAATCTTTGTTCTATTGTATTTCTTTGCTACTTAATAAATCTTCCTTTGTGATCTTGATACATTCTACTATATAGGCCTCCATAATCAAATGATGCTTCTATATTTATATATATGGATAATGTAGTAATATCCAACACATTTAACTTCCCTTCATCAACATCAACACTACCCTCTTGCACTTGATCATTATTGTTGTGTAGGAAAGTTTTAAAAAAATTTTAACATCCCTATGCTCCTTTTATTAGACTTTATGGCTATTATGAACATCATTCTTGGTTAACTCTTTAGTGGTAGAAACATCCTCAACTTTATTATTAAAACTTTTAGTGTTTATGGAATCGTTAAAGTCAGCAACTTCTTTAAGTCTTTCACTAAAACTTTAGATGCTTTCATCATCAACAAGGTCAACCTCTCTAACCTCTTACTCCTTTTCCTCTTTGGCCTCCTCAATTAAGATCACAATCCTCCTATTAGGACATTTTGAAGCTATATGACCCAAACCTCCAAGTGGGGCTTCTCCTTCAGCCGAATGCCTCAAGAGTTAGTTGTAATGCTTTTAGTCGTACTTATTGGCATTAGTTGTCACCTTCAATTACTTGTTTTCTTATCACTCCACCTAGGCACCTTATGATTCCTCTTTAACTTTTTAGCCATTTTGACAATATCCTTTAAGGTACGGTATCGTTATAATTGTATAACATGAACAATGTTTGACCTTAATCTACCAATAAACCTCACCATGGTGTATTTGTCACCTTCATTGATGTCACGTATAAGCATGAGTTGCTTAAATTTAGTAGCATAATCCTCCATACTCATCGTATCCTATTTCAAGTTATGAAAAGGAATAAAAGTATCTTCTCTATAGATTTTAGAAAAGTATTTAGATTTCAATACCCTTATTATCTTTTCCTATGCAGTGATTTTTGACTTACCCTAACATGCTCTTTTATTCTTAAGGTTCTCCCACCATAGTATGACCTTCTTTGTTAGCTTGATAGCAATGAGTTTAACCTTCTTGTTCTCTTACACGTCATGATAATCAAAGACTTTCACCATTCTTTGTAGCCACTCTACAAAGGCATCCGACCTAAGTCTTTCCTCAAATTCGGGGATCTCAAACTTGACTCCATAATCCTAAAATCCTTATGGCTCCTTATGTCTTTTACTAACTTGGGAAGATATCTCCTTTTTAAAGAAGATTCAACACTTATGTCATTGAAGGGATTGTCTTCTAATAGTCCATCGGGGACTCTCACCATCTATTGATTCATGCCTCTCTTTAGGCACGTGGCTTATATCTAAGTCCTAATTTCTACATCACAATTTGACATTGGCTTATTGTAATTCTTCAATTTTCCTTTGTATATCGTACATGGTGATTTGGTCAATGGTCGCTCTTCTTGGTGGCATATTTATATTTAGCCAATATGTAATAGGAAGCAAACCTCGGCTCCGATACTAAACTAATGTCGGATTAAGACACTAAGCCTTATAGAAAACTCAACAACATAAGAAACACTTGTACAACCTTAGGTCAAGACAATCAAAGTATGAAACAACATAAAAAAAACCTTAACTAGACCTCCAAAAATACCAAATCAGAATAAATTATCAATTCTCAAAACCCCTTTAACACTTCAACTAATTTGAACCCACAATCACTAAACATACAATAACGATACCTAAAATTAGGATATATGCGTTTACCAACCAAATCACCTCAAAACATCATGAAATTTTAAAAAAACCTAGATACTATCTCGGAGAACGTTTATATAAAATTTTAGCTCAATCTAAGCTTTCTAACCTCTTTTTCTATCAAATCGTTATTTTAGACGGAATAGGTATCAAAATTTACACCAAGTTCTACGACCCCAAAACATAAGAAAAATATCTTTTTGTTTATTTTCTTTTTTTATATAGGATTTAAAATAACCCCTTAACAAACTACTTTTAAAATTTTAGATTAAACTAAAATTCCATGCCTTTATGATCGGTGTGATGATAGAAACTATTCGATCTGGAATTCTAAATAGACCCACAATCAATCGAGTAATAAAACAATAAAGGAAACACAAACCCTAATGTATCACCCTAAATAGAGATTCATTGATCAAGTTGATTTAGATAGTACTTACTAAATACGTTCATGAAGAGTCCACTCGACGTAATTTTGATCTAAACATACGTTAATCGATCACTCTAAGGATGTGTTTTGTTCATGACATCCTAGCCGATCCAAGCAAAGGAGATACACAAAAATATAGAGAATAACTCTCAAATTTTATTTAAAATATCATTAAAAAATTGTTTTGAAAATAGCATAAAAGAATGCTTAAATACTCACATACAAAAGCCCTAAGAGATTAGGCTAGGGTATGAATTCTCCCTTGGTTGAATCTTGCTTTCTTTCCTAACTAGGACTCATTTTCTCTCTTGACT